GCCCCAGCCCACCCTCAGCGGCGCTCCGCAGAGCCCCGAGCCCGCCCAGGCACCGCTGGGCGCCCTGTAGACTGCATGAGGCCGGGGCCCCGGGGCCCGCGTGCCGCCCCCAGCCTCCCACGGTGGGCTGGATTTTGCGCCTGCTTTGTGTTGGCAGTGGGGCCGGGGCCCGAGACGCCGCGGCGGCCTTGCCCACGGTCCCACCTGCCCGTCGCTGCCGCGCTGGTGCCCAGAGCCCGGGGCGGGGGGCGAGCTCAGTGCCCCCGCCCGAGGACCCCGCGCCGGCCAAACACTTCTCCCGGGCCGCGAGCAGTTCACACTGTGAAGTGTTGGACGCAACAGTTGCTCCCCGCACTCGGGGTCGTGGCGCAAAGACAAGCTGCACTTGGGACGCCACAACCTTGTAAATAAAATGTTTACTACGGTTTGTAAAGGCCGCTTGGCTAGCTGGGGCGGTGTGGTCGTTAAGATCGGGGATCTCCCACCCGGACCTCAGCCTCAGGGCACTGTAGGTCACAGCAGCTGGAGGTGGGGGACAAGTGCTTTTGGACGGGGTAGCGCTGCAATCTCGGAGCCTCCTTGCTGCAGGGACTGGCGTCGGGCTTAGAGCTCAGAGGCCTCCTTGGCCATAGCCTGCGCTCCCCCACCACTGAACTGGTGCTCCACGACTCTGAGTGTGGCCAGAGGGCCATGGTGGCCACAGAATCTGTTAGGCCCCTGGGGCAGAAGGCCTCTCCACCCTGAGTCAGGACACTGTGAGTGGGCCCGTGGCCTTTTCTTTGCTGGCGAGTATCCAGAGTTGGAGTGGACAAGATGGTGATGCCGTGGGTGAATTTAGCCACAGTCGGTACTTACAAGGTGGGCACTCCAAGTCTGTAGTGGAGCTTTGCGAGTATCCAGAGTTGGAGTGGACAAGATGGTGATGCCGTGGGTGAATTTAGCCACAGTCGGTACTTACAAGGTGGGCACTCCAAGTCTGTAGTGGAGCTTTGCGGCAATTCTAACACAAGCCGCCCCTTGCTCCAGGATGGCTAAAGAGAGGAGGTAGCATCCTGGCGGAAAAGATAGACAAATCACAGTGGTTAGGGTTGAAAAGGCTGAGCCTGAGAAAGTTTTAAAGGTGCCCAAATAACCACGGGGCAGGGAGGTGACTTGTTCAAGGTCACACCCAGGCAATAGCCCAAACCAGAGGTCAGACCTCCTGGCTCTCATTTGGCCAGTGATGGGTCTACAAAACTGCATCTCAGCCCCATCCACGCACACATAATCTTCCTTGCAGTTAGGCCCTGCAGGCGCCCAGTGAGTCCCTCTGCAGCCCCCCACCTGCAAGTTGAGAGGCTGCAGCTGAAATACCTGTTTTGCCTCCATGCTGCAACTGGGATGGGCCTTTAAAGTTTTTTGTTTTGCTTTGTTTTGTTTTGTTTTTGTTTTTGAAAGGCTGAAGAGTCAAACCTCTCTCCAAGACCTTGGCTCTCCTTTCCTCAAAATGAAATGTCCAGAGTTTGTATATAAATCTCTTTTGGGAGATTCAAAAACAGACTGCTGACAAACCTGACCATGCGGGGCTGTTTGGCACTGAACTCTGGCCAGGGCACGAAGCTTCTTACAGGCCCACCACCCATGTCAAGAATAGGATGCTCTGTAGAGAGTGGTGCTCCCCTAGAGATGCTCAGGTCAGCTAGCCCAGGACACATCCCAGTCCCCTGGCTGGAGTGAGGGGGCTCCGAGCAGCTCCCTGATCTGGCTTAGCATCTTCCCCATTTTGACTCATTGACTTGAGCACATTAAAAGACCACCGTTTTAGAGTGGGGACCCCAGATTTAGCCTTTGCTGGCCTAGCGCAGCACAGGGGTGCAAAGCTGACCATTCCCTGCCCCAGTCAACCTCCCAGCCTCCAAAAGGAGCTGAACTCCTAGAGGAATGTGCATAGTGGGGAGGGGAGTGGGAGCGACCAGGGTGGTCCAGTGCAGGAATGAGAAGAGAGAGGTAGAGGGCCCTAGGAGGGACCTCAAGTTTAATGGGAATGTGAGCCAGCCATTATCTTTAAATGTGCCCAGAGTTTCCTGGCACAGCAGCCTCCCCACCTGCGTGGGTTCTAGCCCTGGGTGGGAGTGATTCCCCCACCATTCCGCAGGCTCTGCTGCCCAAATGGCAGGATTCTCCCTGTACCTCTGTTTTGCCTTCACTATAGAGTTTAGTTTCCTCTGACCCCTGAAATATTGAAATTCTGTAACTGGGACATCCCAAGGACATGGAATTTTGAGGCACTTAAATCCGGTGCTGGCGTTCAGGAGCATAACGTGGCAGCATATATATATCTAGTAGAGGAGCTCAGCTGGGGAGGAGTTGGTGCTTTAGGCTCGCAGCTACTCTGCCTCTCATAAGGCTCTCGAGGTGCCCGCTGCCCCAGTCCCCCCTCGCATTTCTCTTCCTGGGGCCCGGGTTTAAAAAGTAAAGGAAATAATCGCCCAGGGACCGTAATGATACGATTTTAGGTACAGTTCGGCCTTATCAAGGCCAGGATCCGCTAGACCAGAGGGCGCAGCAAAGCTGGGGTACCGGGAGGGAAACGAGCTGGGCAGCGGGCACCTGGGGGTGGCACTGGGGCTGCTTCTGGAGGGTTCGCAGGAGGCGCCCCTTCCTCCAACACCCTCCACCTCTTCTTCTTGAACATTTCCCCCGTGAAACTCTAGCGGGGCTTTAGCCTGGGCGGTGGAGTTCTTCCACGTTTTCATCAAGAACGGGGTATCTCAAGTCCAGGAGAAGTTTAAAGTTCATTTGGAAGCGGAGCAGTCGCAGGACGAAGAGTCCTCTCTAGGCCGGCCTGGTGGCGGGGAGCAAAAACCACATTTCGGGCCGGGTCGACTCATCCTGGGGCCGCTCGCTTGGCCCAGGGATCGGGAATTTTCCCGGTGGCGCTCGATGCTTGCAAGAGCGGCCAGGGAAGCTAGAAATTCTTGAACGAAGACCGAGATTTCTAAGGCGCCCAAGAGAAGGCCGAGCGCGCTAGATCCGCACACGCCAGGCCCGCCGAGGCCCTCCCGGCTGGGGCTTGGAGGCGGCGGCGGATGCGCGCGGGCCCCGGAGCCGAGCCGAGCCGCCACCCCCGCTTCCAGCCGCGTGCGGCCCAAGACTCGCCCTTCCCGAAAAGCAGCGAGAACTCTGCCCGAGTCGGGTTCTGCCTCCCAGCCGCAGCGGTCCCCGCGGCGCCGAGCCCTCGGAGCTAGGTTACCGGCGTGCGGAGCGGTGGCGGCCGCGGGTCTCGCTGGGACTGGAGGGGCTCTAATACCCCCTCGGGGGCACGCGCGCGCACACCACAATTACACGCGTAGGTCACACATCCACATGTTCACAGAGGCGCACAGCAGCGCAGACCCAGACGCACACAGGGGAGCCCAGGTACTGGCCATTTCAGCCTCTTCTGAGCAAAACCACACAAATAACGTTCTCTCTTCCCCAGACGGCAAAGCCGAGTGAGGAGCCTCACGCCGCCTTCTTCTGCCACGGTGGGTGGGTGGGGCGCTGGTCTGAAACAAAAGTTTCCTTGCGCTAAGCCTCGCCGGCCAAAGCACTGAAAGCCGGCGTCGCTCCATTCGCCTGCCGCAGTCCAGAGCGGGCGGGGACCCGGAGGCCCGGAGTTGCTGGGAGCGCGTGGCCGTCGCTGCCCTGCCCCCCCGCCCCCAACCTGGGGCCAAAGCTGTCCGGTCCCGTGGCACTTCAAGGCGAAGTCTTGTCTCCAATGGAGGCTCTGGCCCGCAGACCAGCCAAGGAGATCACCTTCTGTTCTCACCCCACTACCCCGCAAGGATTCGTGGGTACAGTGTGTGTGTTGGGGGGGGGCTTGCTCGGACTCCGGTTATCATCAATCCCTCTCACTCCTTCCGCACCTCAGAGAGGACCAGTGGCTTTGGGATCTTTCCTGTGGCTGCTCCCTCTAGCTGGGGACTGAAGTGGGGTGTTGGCGGGGGTTCTGGTTTGAGGCCAGCGCCGAGCAGGTGAGCTCTGAGTGCCCAGCTCGCTGATCCCTCCTGTTCTAGGTACTGGAAGTCAACCTAACTGGAAGGTGACCCCAGATTTCCTTGCGGTCGGTCGCAGTCTCAGGGAACTTAAGGGTCCCCAGGGCAGGGCAGGAAGCAGAACCTGCGGGGGGGAGGGTATTATGGGGCCGTTTCAGACTTGAGCTTTAACCCTTGTGGCTTTAACCTATTGAGTTTGAATCTATCCCCGCATCACACCCCGCTTCCCCTCAAGCCCGTGCCGACCTCAAACAGACCCCCGGTATGCGGGGCGGGGTGGTGGTGGGGGTGCTGGGGCGGCTCTGGAGCAAGAAATGCGAAGAGAGGTGGGAGGCTGAGGTCGATGCACCCTCCTCCCAGTTGCTGGCGGTTCTCCTTCACCTTCGTCCTCCTTTGAGAAGGAAGAGCTGATTGAAGGACTGAGAACTCGGCCCTCCCCATAGGACGCGGTGACACTACTTTAAAGAGGGTGGAGAGGACCCTAAACACGCAGGGCCCTCGCATTCCCCCCTTCTTTAGTCTTTGGGGAGGAGGCTGCACACTCCATGATCTTTGTGAAGACCCAACTATTGGGTTTCGGAGGACTTTAACTGCAGGTATTCGGACTAGGGGAGATACAGCCCGTCTTAATTGTGCTCGCGCACGCATCTGGCTCACCGTCTTCCCTTTGAGGTTGTGAGGGGCTTGGCTTGGTCCTAAAGACCAATGAACGGCCTTTTCCGCCGGTGCTCCCCACGCATGCGGGTATTAAAACTTGCATCGGGCACCACCCCTGTAGCCGCTCTTTGGACTTCCGGACTGCTACACAAGGCGGGGTGCACTTTCTAGCTTATTCCCTCCCCTTCCCCCACCCAGGTTCTAACAGGCACAGGCACAGGC